TAAGTTTTCTTCTTTAAAGTACAGGTGTGAGCTATGTGTCTAATCAATCCATAATTTTTACATTTGACTTTTTGGAAAAGGATTCCTAAGTCTTCTACTATTTATTTGTCTATTTAGGGATTGCATAAATTTAGGATACAAAATAGAATTAGTGAAATCTTCAAGTTTAGGGGCTATCTTATTATCCTCGAGAGCATTTATCTTCAATTTATAATATGAATTCATATCTTTCAAAATTTTTTTTGTATAAGTAGATCTATAAATTTTACTCTCAGATTCATCCTTAAATTTTTTCAGTTCTTTTTCAAGTTCTGCATAGAATGATTTTAAAATTTCATGATTTTTGTTCAAGTCATCATATTTATCAAGTAATTTTATATGGTTGTCATCAATTAAAGCATGATCTTTCCTAAGGATTTCATGTTCTTTTTTTAGTTCCTCAAATTCTAAGCTCAGACTAGTTTGCATTTTCTTTATCTTTATATATGCATCATGCATGTATTTAGAAAGTTCAAAGAGTTTATTGTAAGTCAAGTCACATACCTCTTATTGATCTGACTGATCAAAATTATCGGCCATTAAGCACAGATTAGTGACTTCCTCTTCCTTTTCTGTTTCTGTTTAGTCCGAAGCTGAGTCGGCCCAGAAAGCTCTTTGGAATTTCTTCTTGCCCTTCTTCATAATTGGTTTCTCCTCTATCTTGTCCTTGTTAGGAGTGGCTTTGAGTTTTCAGCAATCTATCTTAATATGTCCAGGTTTCCTACACTCATAGCAAATTACATCATTTGAAACCTTGACATTTCTATTAAATTTACCCTGATTCCATTGCTGGCGTCTCTTTTGCTTCCTCTTTAGAAAGCTTCTGAATTGTCTAGTCATTAGTGCGATGTCATCTTCATCCTCAGGTTATGAGTGTCTACTCTCTGATTCCTCCACTTTCAGTGCTATATTCTTTTCCCTTTGTGGTTCACCTACATCAATCTTTATTTGGATAACTCCTTGCTCATAAGCAATTAACGAACCAATAAGATTGTCAATTGAGTAAATATTTAGATCTTTAGACTTTGTAAATGTAGTAATTTTAGCATCATAAGCAGTAGGCATACAATGAAGAATCTTATTAACCATTTCAACATTCATTAGTTCCCTACCCAATGCATGTAAAGAGGTGACTATTTCTGTGAATCTTGTGTACATATTAAAAATGGATTCAATTGGTTTCTTGTGAAATAATTCATAACCATGCAACAAGATATTAAGTTTACATTGCTTAACCTCATTAATCCCCTTATAAGTTATACAAAGTATATCCCATATGTCCTTTCCACTCTTGCAAGTAGAAACTGACATGTAATCTTCTGATTTAAGAGCACAAAAGAAACTATTCAAGCATTTGGCATTTAGTTGTGGTAAGTCACGTTACTCTACTATCCAGTCCATAAAAGGTGTTTCAACTATAACTCCGTCAACTAGTCTAGTTGGCTTTGTATACCCTTCCTGAACTAAGATCCACAACTGGTAATCAAGTGACTGTAAAAATATAGACATGCATGTTTTCTAAAAATCAAAAGGAATATTATCGCACAATGGAGGTCTAGTTATAGAGTAACCCACATGTGTATTTTGGTTTCCAAATGTAGCCATCTACGTTAATCAAAAAGTAGTCTAAACTTATGATTTTGAAACAAATCTCTGATACCACTTATTTAAACTTATTCAATATGAATTAGGTTGTTAGAGCTAAGATTATGTCCCAGCGGCTAACCAAGAGGTGGGGTGAATTGGTAATTAAAAATTTATCCCTCTTTTTGAAATTAAAAACTGAGAATAACTTCAGTGAATTTTTCTAGAAAAAGTTTTTGAAACACAAGTTAAAATAGTAAAAATAAATGCAGTGAAAAATAAAAAGACACATGATTTATAGTGGTTCGGTCAAACACGACCTATATCCACTCCCCAGAGGCACACTCTGAGTATTGCACTAATACCACTAGTGACTCTCCTTTTGCACCCACAGCAAGGCGGAGAAGCCTTTACAAAAACTCTCTTCCACCACTACCTGGTGTGGTAGAGAACAGTTGTCCTTTTACACTCTCAAAGTGTTGGCTGAGAACCATCATCCTTTTACACTCTGCAAGTTTTGGCAGAGAACCTTCATCCTTTTATACTCTCTAAGTGTTGGCAGAGAACCGTCATCCTTTTACACTCTCCAAGTGTTAGTAGAGAACAATCGTCCTTTTACACTCTCCAAGTATTATCAGAGAATCATCATCCTTTTACACTCTCTAAATGTTGGTAGAGAACCGTCATCCTTTTACACTCTCCAAGTGTAGGTAGAGAACCATCATCCTTTTACACTCTCCAAATATTGGTAGAGAACAGTCATCCTTTCACACTCTTCCGGAGTAGGCAAAGAACCCTTCAGTTGTTTACACTCTGCTAGTGTAGATAGAGAACCCTTCGGCTGTTCACACTCTCCAAGTGTCGGTAGAGAATCGGATCTCCTTGACAGATCTTCTCATAAGAAATCTAGAATGATGAGAGAAGAGTGTGAAGTAATTACAAATCACAAGTGGAGATTCTTACCTTTAAGTACCAAGTGAATCCTTCAAGCTCCAATAGTAAGAATCCTCCTTCAAGCGCTCTCTCACACTCTCTCATTCCCTCTCCCTTCAGTTGACATGAAGATTAGTAGTCAAAAAGATTAAGACACCGTTTTATTTGGACTTTATGTAGGAATGACATGAAAAACCGTCCAAAGACTGCTGATTTTCAAATTTGTACATAGTGTATTGTCCAGTACGATCGTCAGATCGTCCCGTACGAGTCTACTTAAATCAGTTGCATAAGAACCCAATGTACATAGGTATGAAATGACTTCGTAAATGATCATCATCCCATACGAATTATGTTTGTCCGGTACGAACAGTTATTTCATGTGTTGGTTTCGACAAACTGCAGGATGTTACCAAAATTTCAAAAGATAGAGCATTTCGTCTTGGGATGAATGGGAGTTCGTCTGGACAAAAATTTTCTAGAGAACATTTCGTCTTGGGACTAATAGGAGCTCGTATGGACGAGTATTTTCTAGAGAGCATTTCATCCTGGGATGAATAGGATTTTTTCTGGACAAAAATTTTTCAGAGACCATTTTGTCCTGGGACGAATAGAAGTTCATATGGAAGAAAATTTTCCAGAGAGCATTTCATACTGGCACGAACATGATGAATCATTTGGACTATTCAGCACAAAGTGAGAATCCAGAGCAGATCTTCCCAGGATGAATTGAGAAATTCGTCTAGATGATCAGGATTTAGATAAATTTTATCACTTCTTGTTTGTTCTATTGTTCTTTCAAGGGGATTAACTGACTTAATCGTCCTTTACGAATAAGGTTCATCCCGTATGATCAGTGTAAATTTTAAAGATCTCCCTAAGTGTGTGTGTGCTATGCTTATTTAATTAAAATCATATTTTCTTAAACTCAATTATAATAAAATTACAAACTTCAATTTAAAAACTATCTCAAGCTGAATTTTGATTTGAAGTCTTCATTTGTCTGAAGTTCGATTATCCAGAAATAATAGACCGCATAAGAGCAAAAATAATTTTTCCAAAAAGTGTTAGGAGAAAACAAAGCTTAAAACAATAATATTTGGAATCTTCAAAACTATACAAGTTGCAAGAAGATAAAACATACAAATAGCATCTCTCTTAACATTTTCAACTTCAATCAGAATTTGTTTAGTGACCAATGACAAAGTAGTATGAAAAGTTGGTAAAGCTAGTAAAACAGAATTCACCAAAGTAATTTTTCCAGCTAACGAGTGCAGTTTCCCACCCCATATACTTAGCTTATTCGATACTTTGTTCATAATGAACTTAAAATCAGCTCTCTTCAATCTCCTCAATGCCACCTTAGTCCCGAGATATGTGAATTCATGAAGTTCCCTGAACTTCATTATTTTGCAAATCTTCTTTCTTCTCCCTTTCTTCACCGACCTTCCAAAAAGAATACCTGATTTTTGTAAATTGATTTTTTCACCCGTCTATTCATATCATTTTGTAAGAATACCTTTAACCATTTTAACAGATTCCAATTTAGCTTCTAAGAAAACCATAATGTCATCAGCATAGAGAAAGTGAGAGACCTTGGGACTGTTCGGTGAAATGCTAATGCTAATAGAATTCCCCGTTTGTAAGAATGCATTAGAAAGTAATTGAGCACATAACACAAACAAGAAAGGTGAAAGTGGACATCCTCGACGAAAGCCTTATTTAGCCTCAATCCACTTGGAATAGATCCCATTGATAAGTAATGAAAATTTAGGCCCAATAACACATTCCATGATCAGATTAGCATTGAAATCCAGAAATTCAAAATACTTTAGAACATTATTCAAAGTTGGCCAACCCATGGAGTCATAGGCTTGCTCCATAACAATCTTAAATGAGACCATCCACTTGGAAGAACTGGAATGCCTGAATTTGTGAAAGACTTCTTGAGTTACAAGAACATGATCCAAAAGTTACCTACCTTTCATGAAATCCACTTGTTCTATTGAGATTAACTTTGGAATTACAAACAAGAGTCTATTTAGGACAATTTTAGCCACTATCTTATAAACCGAGTTACATAAGCTAATGGGCCTGTAATTGGATGGAGAAGTAGGATCCTTAATTTTAGGAATTAATACAATATTTGTGTTTTTCCAACTATCATTCATTTTACCACTAACAAAAAAGTGATCCAAGGCTTTCCATAAATCAACCTTGATGATATTCCAATAGAATATAAAAAAAGAGTAAGTCATACCATCATGACCCAGTGCTATGTTACCTCCATGCTCCTTAATGACCTTATGAAGTTCTTCTATTGAAAACCTTATGTTTAGAAACTCTTTATCAACTTCTTCCAAAGTATTGACTGGAACCGACCATCCATTCAATGAACATTCTCTATCTTCATATTTGTTGCTAAAAAACTGAAACAAAACTTCTTATATAGCTTTTTGATCCTCAACCAAGTCTCCTTGCTCGTTTTTGATATTATGAATGTAGTTTATATTTCTTCTAGCAGTTGCAAAAGCTTGTAAGAATCTGGAATTAGCATCCCCCTCCATTATCCATGTAATTTTGGCCCGTTGTCTCCATGTAGCATTGATATAGGCTAAAACTGTATTGAGTTCTTCTATTTTAGCTTTCAATTTCCGTTGATCATCTTCCGTTAGCTTCCCATCGTTAGCTTCCTTCTCATGTAAAATCTGAATATCTACGTTAAGCTCATCTTTAGAAATACTGAGCTCTTTGAACTTAGATTTACTCCAATAGTGAAGATTCCTTAAGGTCCTCTTCATTTTTTGGTTTAAAGCTTGGGAAGGATCTCCTTAAGCATTTCTTCTCCATGATTCTCTCACAATTGCTGTAGAAGGTGGAATTGAAGTCTAAACCTCTTCGAATCTAATAACTTTCCTAGTAGGAGAACAGAAATTCATCAAATTCAATAAGATCAGACTATGGTCTGAGGCAATTTTTGCCAAATGCCTTTCCATTAATCTATGGGAAGAGTTAAAAGCAACTGAATTAACTAGGCATCTTTTAAGTTTTTCCAATATCCTTTCAACTCTTTCTTGTTATTACACGAAGTGAACTTTGGAGCAACACAAGAAACCTCATACAAATCATTACAAGAGATAAAAGACTTTATCTCCTTAGTTCCAAGATTAAATAAGAATTTCCTTCCTCCTTTATTTTCCTCCTTAGACAACAAGCAACTGAAATATCCTCTATGATCATAGGAACATCTTTAAACATAAGATGATCTAAACCATCCCAAAGAAACCTTCTTCTATAAATGTCTTCACTCCCATATATGGTTGCTATTCTCCAAGTGCCTTTGTTGAGAACATCAAGATCACCAAACACAAACTATGTTGATGCTTCCACCACTTTGAATGAAGCAGTCCCTTGTTTCCAAATCAACAAAATTCCTCCTGATAGGCCTTCGGAAGGAACACTAAAGAAATCCCAACCTTCACCAAACATCACCTTAATAAGCTTGCTATCAACCATTGTCAACTTTGTCTCTATCAACCCAAGAAAGAATAAACCATGATCTCTGATGAACTCCCTTGCATAAATGAAAGTTTTCCTTTTTCTTACTCCCCTAAAATTCCAAAAACCAATAGAGGACATTTAATGATTTGTGGGGAAAAGGTTCCTCGCCCATTCTCTTACTTCTCCTTCAAGTTTTCTATTTCTTCGAAGAAGTTTGATAGGACCAAGTCCCCTTAATTGTTTAGCTCCTTCCCTTTTAGATTTACCAGACCCATCCTCCTATAAACTGGTTTTATCCTCCAAAGAATCAATTGAAGTTGTATCAACTCTGTTTATTCTAGCCGGTACCAAAACAAAGCTCCTCTCCAAAACAAAACTCCCCTCTTCAACAGCACCATCTTCAATTTCACCAATTATTTCTCCTTCCTCTCCCACATTGTTTAAAACATCATACTGATTGTGATTGCATATAATTCCTTCAATATCACCTTCTTTGCCAACTTTGAAGCCTTCTCTGATGACTGCTGAGTCTTCTACTATAGCCGGATCCTTCTTTTTTTTAATTATCTTCTCAAAAAACTATTTCCCTATATTCAACCGCATAGAGCTATTATTTCCTCCACCTTGGTCCTTGTTCTTCTCAGCTGCTGCATTAAAAGATTTATTATTAGAGATTGGTATCCTCTTCCATTTGTATTGAATATTGCTAAACATGCTTTTCATTCTCCCGTAATCAATATGGATCCATGGCCCACATCCTTCTTCTTTGATCTTGGAGTGGTTAACCTCCATTAGATTTGAATTCTTCTTTGGTCCTATTATTTTTTCGTTCTCAGAAACTAAGTTGGAACCATCGATACAAGTAAATGTCTCTGCACATGAGACTGTACAAAATTTCTCCACATGTCCAATTTTCCCGCATTTGAAACAAATGTTTGGAATCCTCTCATAGCTTATTTTTTGGAAAAATTTCCCCATAGCACCTTCAACCCAAACTCCCTGTTGGAGTTTGTCTTCTAATTTAATCCTTACACAAACCCTTGCAAATTCACGCCGCCCCAACTGGAACAAGTTTTAATCTATCAAGAATGGTTTACCAACCATAGACGCAATTCTACATACATTAATTCTATCCCAACTTTGTAAGGGAAGGTTGGGTAACCTGATCCAAATCGGGGCTGTCAATCCTTTCATGGATGAGAGATCAAAATTAGGGGACCATTTGTCTTGGCCAATAATGCTTCCATTAACATACCAAGGACCACTATTTAAGACTGCTTCTATAGCTTCAGATTCTTCAAAAGCACATAACACCCAACCTCCTCCAAGTAGAGTCATATGAAATCTACCATACTGATTCCACTGCCTTCTTAACTCCTGCCCAATAATATGATAAGTTGCATTTCCCAACACTTTAATTACAAATGACTTCTAAAATCTAGAAGTGTTATCTGCCTCATTTTGTTGATGTAATTTCAAAACTCCATTTTCCAGGAAATTTTCACCAAAATTGAAATCAATTCTTTTGAAATTATGCTTCATATTCGAAGCATTATCCACTGATTTATCATGTTAAGGTGGAAAAACTGCTCCAGCCCTTCCATCAGATATGCAGTTCCCCAAAGTTACAGATTCACAAACACAAACGTTCTCCCATCCTTCTTTGGCTGAAGGTTCTTTACGAAAAACCACTCCTTTAGCTTGCTCAGCCAATTCTATATCGAAACCTTTGACCAATAAATTCTTCCTCAAGACATCATCCTTCTTACATCCTGATGAGGAACCATTTGCTGAATCTAATCTTCTTTCTTCCACTATTTCTTCAATTTAACCAGAACTAGTTTTATTCATGTTAAAGCTGCAGTTGTTGATCTGAGCAATCTAATCTTCTAGCATGATCTTCTTCCCTTTTCCAACACATTCCATATTTTTCTTAGGAGATATATAACCTCCCTCATTAATCACTAAAGGTTTAGCAGATTTAAACCTCATTTTGGATTCACGATCAAACACCTTATCGTCATCCCCAAAAGCTGGAGGAGATGAGCTATGATTCTTGCGAGAAAGGATTCTGACTAGAGGAATCGAAGAGGAACAACTTTCTCCAGCACCGGAGGATGGTGGCCGGCGATCCTCCACCGTCATCATAGTAGAGAGCAAAATGCGGGATCACCAGAATTCAAACTTCTGTTGGGACTTTCTCTCAGTGAAAACCTGAACTTTCTCTGAATCTAATTGGGGAATGTTCTAAACTCAAATTATTCACCTTTTTGAGATAAAATTCTAATCCAAGCAAACCTTGAGTAATCATAAATCATCACATACCCAAAGACTTTCCCTTCTAGGCTTATAGTGCTAATAGTTCCAAAGAGATCCATGTGAATGACTTCTAAGGGTTTGTTAGTGTTAATGTCCTTAATTGAGTGGAAGGTGGATTTGACTTATTTTCTTAATTGATAGGCATTACAAAGGCGTTCCTTTGGTAAAATTGATTATGGTTCATAATAAGTCTTTTGGATAATTTTTCTAAGATTTTTCATGCTTGCATGACATAGTCTCTTATGCCATAACCATGATTCATCAATTATATTTTTTGGGCAAAAAGATGTAGCATATTCAATACAATACAAATCAAGCATGTAAATATTATTAATTCTTTTGCTTGCAAAATAGTATTTTTATTTAAGCTAATCATGTAGCAGGTAGATAAAAATTTTATGGTGAATCCTTTATCACACAGTTGGCTAATGCTGAATAATTTATATTTCAAACCATATACCAGTAATACATTTTTAATAATAAATTTTTTTTTGTTGCCAATTATACCTGATCCAACTACTTTCGTATTGGTACTATCTGAAAGTGTTACCTTATCTCATGGCCTGGCCTCCAACATGATTAGTTTCTTAACATCTCCAATCATATGCCTTGAACATCCATTATTTAGGTTCCGCGTGTTCTCACTAGGCCTTCTGAGAGAGCATCACTATAAAGTCATTAAGGATTAGATTTGGGAACCCAAAAAAGTTTTTGTTTTACATAGTGAATTGATAAATGAAATGCTTTCATATTATACTATAATTTATGGAATCTTAGCCTCCACACTAAATGTGTTATATACTGGATAGTATAAGTATGAAATATATGTCCTAGCATTCCATAAGAAAAACCACCTAACTTTTGGGAATGGATTCACTAGTCTATATTGGTTATGGTGCCCCTTCTTAGTTATAAATTATGCATGTTGTGGTGATGGGTTATAAAATTATACAAGTTTAGGTGATTTTGTGTTTCTATAAAAATAGTTAAATTCACTTGCGAAAATTTATTTGCTCTTTCAAGAATTGAATTTTCAAATTTTAATGCATGCTCGCTATCATTAGAATTATCTATATATACCTTTAATTCTTTAAATGAATTTTCTAAATCAACATGATATGCTTTCAAGAAATTATGTTCAGATGTTAAATCAAGATGCTACTTATTTGATGCATCAAATTCATTATGTAAGATCTTATGATTATTATCCAAAGTAAAGTGTTATTTCTAAGGCATTTATGCTCCTTTTGCAAATTTGAAAAATCAGAATTAAGGCTAGCATATATTTTCATGAGCTTTCTATATGTGTTATGAATTTTCTTAGAAACTTTAAATAATTCATTATAAGAAAGTTCACATACCCCCTTTTGATCAAAATGTACAAGATGATTATCTACCATTAAGCACAAGTTGGTTACCTCCTCTTTTGTTTCTATCTTAGATGAGTATAAAGAAGAATCTTCCCAGAAAGCCTTCAGAGTCTGTTGCTTAGTCTTTTTTAATTTAGCTTTTCCTTCACCATTCTCCTTAATTGGATGAGTTTAAGATTTGGTTTGTTAGTCCTCAAGTGACTTGGATTCCTACATTTGGAACAGATGACATCAGAAGAACTTTTAGAGTTTTTATTAGATTTACCTTTGTTACATTAATGGCATTTTTTTTTTCTCTAGAAAGCTTTTAAATTAACATGTCATCAGTGCTATGTCATCACCAACTTCGATTACAGAATTTCCATAATCAGGAATAGTTAACTTTAATGCTACAATTTTCTCCTTGTTTTCACACTTGCATCAATATGTCTTTGACTCACTCCTTTTTCATAGATAATGAGTGATCCAAGAAAGTTATCAATAAAATAAACATTTAGATCCTTGGATTCTATAATAACAGTTATTTTAGAATCATAGGAACTAGATAGACAAAGTAAAATTTTTTGTTAACTATTTCAAAAATTTTAAATTCTCTACCTAAACCATGTAGG